GCTTTCAAGGTATGTTCCATGATCACCATCTCTATGCGCAACCATACCTTATAACCATAAGTGATCTAGGGATTTTATCTTAAGTGCAATTATAAGATAAATGCTTTCTCTTAAGATAAAGAAATGCCTTATTCATAATATAATTCCAATAGACTGTATTTACAAGTAGAATACGTCCAATTAGATTGGAACGCCGGGTACCCTACTCTAACAGTTTCCTACAGAGATGAAGGGTTGGGTTGGAGATGAATTTCCTCCAATTGTGCCGTTTCCGCTGGCTATAGGGTATGAGTTGGAGATGCTCTAATATTGGACTTGATGTACAAATTCTCTTCAGATCGGAGTTAAACTGGTGATGTCACGAACTACCTCCTAACTCGAGTTCTGATGAACCTTCGTTGTATTTGTTAGAGTCGATTTTTCCCAAGTGTAAAGAGGGCCGAAAATTAAGCATTTGGGCCGGTTTATGTGGTGCAATTGGGCCGAACAATTAGAAGTCTTGGACCTTTTGAAAGGCTCGAACAACTGGGCTAACAAGGCTTCGCAAGGGCTTGCGATCGGGCTTCAAAATATCGAATGATTTTTCGATTGATGAAATTGATAAAATTTAAATAATTTAAGTAGATGAGGACATTAAATTATTTGACTTATTAGATTAATTAGACGAGAACATCTAAATAATCGTAATAAGCTTAATCGAGAATTTGTCGAGCAAATAATATAAAATAAAATGCAAGGCAATGCAAATAATAGAATAAAATATGACAACTCATATAAAACGAATGGAGCACTACCATTTTTATTCTCTTTCTTCTGAAAGTCGTCATCCTAGGTTTTTGCTCTCATGTCCTTTCATCCTGAACGTCCTATTCTTGTGTCTCACTTTGAAAAGTTGGGTGTTATTGACTTGATAAAAGATCTTGGTATTGAGAAGTCTGTGGTGTCTTTTGGTTGTTTCTGTCCACGTATTGTGTCAGAATTTATGCAAACGTTTTCTCATTGTTAGTAATATTCGTTTTTCTCGATGTTTCAAGGTCTTTATTTGCAGTCGTATTATTGAGTTTAGTCCTTTTTTCATTGATGCATACTTTGTCTTCTCTTTTGATCCTCTGGGAAAAATTCTTGATAACGACCTCGATGAAGTAACAAATGCTATCACTAGTGGTGGACGACTGACGGATCATTCTTGGTATATTTTTCACGAGTCTCACTGATCAGGCGAATGCTCTTTAAAAGACAGGCACCTGAATTGGACCCCTACTTTTCATAAGCAATGAGTCACTGCTTCTCAAGCGAGGTTATTTACCGTGTGTTTTATGGAAACCCTTTGATGTTGGTTCCTTGATCTTTGATCTAGTCATGTCCTTTGTGGGTGTTACCAAATCCCATAAACTTCTATCTTTTTCTTGTGTCATCTATAGTATTCTTGTTGTGGTCGAGGTCAAACCGAACGCTCATGTGGGTGATGAACTTGCACCACCGAGTAAAATTCCCACTCTTAGTGTTAAATATGCTGTAAAAGCTTGGCTTTCAGATATAAACAATTCCATTTTGATCTGGCAATCGTGTTTTAGTCAAAGTATTTATGTTTGCAGTTTATTTATTTATGCAATCATAACTCCGTTATTTTACATTATAGATAATGTGGTTCGTCGTGTCGAACAGTAAGATTATATTATCGGTTTTTTATAAAATATAAATTTAATGTTTACAGTTGTAGACAGACAGTGAGACCCTAGTTGGATAACGACTGTAGTGTAGTCTTAATTTAGTTGATCTTTAACTGATGGGTTACACTAGTACTCATGATAAGTATTGAACGGACTGCGGAAGGATAAGATTATAAGATTTACTGGTCGTGGTTATAATCTAGACCTTCAGTGATTGATGCGTTCTCTTAAGTTGTAAGATAATATAAAATGGGCATATATATTTATTATTTATTTATTTGATTTAGAAAGGGTGATTCCTATTCTGTTAGGATGATATACTCGCTATCTTGTTAAGTAAGAGTATTCATATGATGTGTCGTTACAAATTATTTACAGTCACTATGTCCCAGTACGCTGGGTTGATGACGACCCGGAAATGAGCTCAGGAAAGAATATTATGTTAAACCCTGCAGGTGGATAATTATCCGACATAATGATTAATGAACTGAGTGGTACTAATTTCAGAAATGGAATAAGCCAATTTAATTTAATTGTTAGTAATTAAATTAATTGATGGACGTTATATCTTAAACATAGAGAGGTAAATAAGTCAAGTAGATTAATTAATTAATTAATCATTTGGAGGTTTGACTTATTGAATAAATTGGAGCTAAATTAGGAGAGCAATAATATTACCCTAGTGGGATGTTTTATTATTTAATTTTAATTAGGGTTTTAGGAATTAATTATATTCCATAATTTAGATTCCGTTATGAGAGGAATACTCCTTCTAGAATATTACCTATGGTTAAGAGATTATGGAGTCTTCTAGAAGGTAATAAAAGTTAGGAGGAATAAGACTTCTACATGGGATAGGATATGGAGCATGATTAGGATTCCTAACCTAGTGGGATAAACTCATATTTAGCACCTCCTTAACGTCCCTAATGGAGCCTATAAATACACCATGTCCCAACCTCTTCCCCTACTAATGATAAAGCTCGATTTTAAGGTCTAATAAAGAGAGGAAAATTGTGATCTATACATATTCGAGAAGTTCGGGAGTTTCAATTAATCACACCACCAAGATTAGTCGAAGTAGGTGTTAAGGTAATCCATTAGAAGATCTTAAGGTAACATAATTCAAACATTGAAGATCTCCTTTTTTCGGCCATCTTCCACCGTCGACCGCCGCCGTTCGCTGCTGCCGCCGGAACTCTGCACGAACCAGCCGCACGCCGCTAGGCCCCGCACACGGTCCCAGCTGCAATGCCCCGAAACACCTTCCTGCTCATGCATCGCCATCGTCCGTGGTTGTCGCACCCGCATCTGCCCAGCACCCGTCCGCGCCGATCTTTCGTGTCCCAGTCTGCGTAGGAGAGGGACTCCCGCGTCTGCACGCGCACGAGACCATGTCCGCGCAGGCCTAGGACACCCGCACTGCATGCGCCCGAGCGTCCCGCACCAGTTCGCATCTGCCCGAACTACCGCGCGTCCCAGCCACCTGACGCTCACCGTCTGCGACCAGCACTAGCGACCCGCGCCCGTCTGCGACCTGAGCCGACCACCGCCAGTCCGCGACCGAACCACTTAGCCCTTCCCGACCGAGACGTGACCAGCTGACCCGAGCCATCCCCGAGTTAGTCCAGCCGAGTTTTGACCGAGTCAACCCGGTGAACCGAACCATATCCAACCGACCCGAGTCCGATTCGGTGATCTGTTCGTGATTTAGTGACTCGATCAGAATCGAGAAAGGCTAAACCCGTCAGCCCATCAAGTTTTGGTAATCAGATGATCTCCATCAAAGGAAATCAGAAACGTCCCTGAGTCGGCAAAAATTTTAAACGGTAATGTCCTAACCCTAACTATAGATTCCGCTACGTTAGGGTTTATTTTTACAAAATTCAAACGTGCATGTTGTTGTTGTTCCTAATTGAACCCAACAACTGGTATCAGAGCCCAGGTTTAATTCAACTTCGTTCACGGTTTGAATTAGGATTACCTGTTTATGCGAATTAATTGCGTACGGACGCAGCGCATAGTAGATTAGAAATTGCAAAAAGTTGTTTGCAGGTGATTCCGAATCCGACTATTATGGCCCGTATGTGTGGTTTTAATTCATGTGTGTTATTTTATAATCCTCGAACATGTCGAGGAGTTTTTGGGGTTGTGAATGCTTGTAATAAGTTATTCGCACGATGGGACTCCGCATAGTTTATTGTTTTCATAGAGAATTTATGTACGACTCCTGTGGGGGTCATAGGATGGATTATGTAATTATTTTATATTATTCATTGTTGATCCGGCAAACGTGGACCAACCTCGTCGAGGCGAGAAACACGCGGACAAAAGCCGACAATGGCGAACTAATGGCGGATTTCCCGGAGACGACCCATTCAAGACGAGTAGTGGGAGTCACCGTGAAAGAGGATATCCAACTCCCGAAAAGAAAGACGCAGTTCGACAAGGACAGGGATTGCGTTTCTCCGAAAAGTTTGGAGATTGATTGAATGGCCATTATAGTTGGATTATTTATTTATTCCTCGTTCATGTCCTTATGTGATTTAATTGCTTATGTGCAAATTGAACCAGCATGTTTAAGAAAATCCCTTAATTAAAATATATTAAGTGTGAATGGATTGAAATAAATTGTTCCACGGCCTCCATTATAGGTTTGTCAATGAAGTGATTTAACCGAGCCCAGAGGACTGTTTATTTCGTGATTCATAAGGACGAATCTCCTATAGGATGGTTATAGTGAGCTATTTGAAAAGTGTACGGATCACCCAAAGGTGGACATATAATTTTGGTAGTAAGCTTGCGACTAATTAATGGGTTACACTTAAAGTGCAAATAATTACGATATTCCCAAAAAAAAAAAAATGTTGTTTTTATTTTGCGCTGGCCAAACGGTGGACCGACTATTAATTAAGTTTTGTTAGGGCAATATATTAGTTAATGAGAATAATCCTCCTCATGCGAGGGTATGAACCGTAGACGTCCACATTCCGTGGCCAGCGGGTATTCGGTGTTTTGAGGTGTTGGTGAATTTATTTGAATATTGTTTTGCAGGGATCAATATTTGATAGTTAAATTCGAAACGCTTGACTGAGTAAAACTTTTTATGCTGAGAGGTCTA